AGGTTGGGAGAAAATAGGCTGGGGCGTTTTGAAAAATCACATGATCGAACTCAAATCCCAAAAATAGTTTAATATATGTGTGTGTGTGTTTTAAATAAGGTAGCTGTCGTGTTAATTTGCGTAGTTGAAAATCCATATATTTTTCAGTTAGAAATTAAAATATTTGTTCTTTTGTTCAATTGTAACAACTATCGATCCTTTTTTGTAATAAATAAAATGTCTGCATACAAGTTCTGAAAGTGAGAGCAAATAGGGTTTGTTTGAACTCTTAAAAATAAGTTAGTCATTTTGGTAACAACTTATACTTCATTGTTAAAAATAATTGAGGTTTGTTTGAACTCTTTTCTGGGAGAATAAATTTTATATTTAGAGAATATATGATTAAAAAATAAAAAAATATTTTGAGTTTACATATAAAATTAGTTTTTTAGAAAAATGCGATTGAAAATAAATTTAATTTTTTTTAAATAATGAGGCTTTAACTATCTTACTTCATATAAAAAATAACATATAATCAAACGTATTTAAATTTTCTCCAAACTCATTTTCAATCATATATTTTACAGATTTCATAATTTTTATCAATTTTTTAATCATACATTTCACTAATTTTTATTAAAATCTATTAAAAATTGAATTTTATAAAAAAAAACCAAAGAGGGACTTACACCCCTTGTTTGAGCTCATTACCTAAAAAATTCATTTTTATCACATTCTTACAATAAAATAATTTTACATATAAATTCAAAGTTATTTTTTTACTTTTTAACGACATATTCTCTAAAAAATACTACTCACTTCGTTCCATAAAGATTGACTTGCTTTCTTTTTTGTCTGTCCCAAATTATAGACTACTTTTCTTGTTGAAAATGAAAATAATTTTTTAATATGCTCCTATTAACGTGTCTGTTATTAACAAATATGAAGTCTTCTATTTCAAACATTATTTAATGTAGGAATATATTAGCAAAATATAAGGAAAAAAAATTAAATTTCCAACTATATTATTATTATTATTATTATTATTATTATTATTATTATTATTATGAAAATAGAAACATGCCTATTTTCGTTGGATGGAAAAATTATTACAAAACTCATTTTTTTTTAATAAAAAATGAAGAATAAACATATTAT